TTCTGAATCTTTCAGAAAAGAAACCTGAGTACTAGCATGAATTGCTTATACTAAGGGGCTTAATGTGGGCTTAATACAGGCTTAATACTAAGAAACAGCTAAAAAGTAAAGTGTGGATTTTTTTAAATGCAGATAAATACAGGTATGAGAAATAAAAAGCCACTGGAGAAGGGGTGGGGAGGGTTTGGAGGTTTCCAATGTCTCATTGAAAGAACTAGTAAGAAAGAACTAGCGTAGGTTGGATTGGGAAAGCAGCAGGGAAGAGGGGACATAAAAGCTGTATGTGGATGATGATAATATCTAAAGAAAAAATTCCTGTGATCCCTCCGACATATAAGCCTATATATGTCCCAAATATAAACTGACTCCTGACATGTTATTTTGTGGGAAAGGCTTGCTGGGGTGTGTTTTATCTTGCAGAAATGTTTTTAGGCATCCTTTTTTCTTGAACTTCTTGAAATATTTAAGGTATATTCTAGATAAGATATATGGCAAGATTAAACTACTCTTATCACCTGTGAGACTCCCTATTTTCCTAAACAATGGAAATGCACTTTGGTTGAATTCTTTTCTTAAAAGGCTGTTTAGGCTGTGGAATCCATTTCGTGGACTCTCCAGCAATCACGCTGAATCTTCAGAAATCATTCTCCAAAAGGCAGAGTCCCTATATAAGAGAGGAAAGCATTTCACTTTTGAACCAAGCATGGAAATTTTATATAACTTATAAAGTTGAACAATGTCTTATTTTGAAATAACCTTATTCCTCCTCTGTGTTTAAAAAACCCTAGCAATCTAGCTGAGCTTTGTGTAATTTGGTATTAATGGTGAAGTTCTGATATTGGCTTAAATTTGGTAAAAGCAAGTCTAAGATAGCTCCAGAGCTTTCTATATGAGTATAATAGTGATGAAAACAGAAGGAAAATATTTTTCTTTTTTTTTCTAGTTCATAAATAATTATAATCTTGTTTATCTTTTTTATTATTTTTATTATTAGGAGAAGTCTGTCAAACTCTGAAGTAATGTCATGGGCAAAGTAGTAGAATTTGGGTTGTGTAGGAACTGGTTAATAATCTTTGACTTTGCCCTTGGAATTTCTTCTCTTCTATTGAGTTTTTTATTCTCCTACAACCACTATGTCTCCTTACAGGTATTTAGGTAACAAGAAATTGTGGGTGAGTGGGGGGCTTTCCAAATCCTGGAGGAGAGGAGAAATAGTTTTATTTATAGTTTTTGTCTGTCTTTCTGTATGAAAACAGAAAGCTCCTTAGATGCTAATTGCAAAAAAGTTGTAATTAGACTGTGTCTAAACGTCTCTAAAATTACTGTTTAGAAGAATCGGCTTATCTGATCTCAAATAATACACAAAATAGTGAGACAGGCAGAGGGATTTGTGGGTTGGAGACAGGTTTGAATTTGGAAATGAGCAAGGTTAATCTCACTGTGATTAAGAGACATTTGGAAAGCTCCTTGTCATCTATTCATAACACTGTGTTCTTACATTTATTCTGGGCAAAATAACTGTTTGAAAACATACTGAAATTTGAAAAACTTGAACATTACACAGACTAAAAATATTTTTTTATGCATAAACTGTGTAAGATTAGAAAATTAAATAGTTGGGAACATGTTACATCAAGGATTAATGGTGAAATACTTGGGTTTGTTTTGTTTTTCCATGCTAATGAATTCACAGTTTTATTTTAAATGCAAAGAGTAGATAAATAGTACATTATAAAGCAGTGGAATTACTGAATTCTCTATTATTTATACAGAACTTGAAGCGGAACTTTGGATTTTTGGGTGCGTGTGGCATAGCTTTCAGATCACTTATAAGTATGGTGGGATAGCAGTGAAGTGCCTGTTTTTACTAAATACTGAGATATGTTGTTTGATTGTTTTCTCTAAGAAACACTTACTGATAGGACATTGAGGCTATTTTCCCCCTTATCTACGGATTTTTGGTATATTGAGGGGGTAACTGCTGTGCTTGTGAAAGCTGTAAAAGTTTGTGAAAGCTGTTTGAGGTTGGGAACATCTAGTTAATTGCTCTTTCTCGGAGAAGCGTACAGTGAGAGAGGTATGTCAGCAATAATTTCCATAGGGGTACCTGATGTCACCTGCTGGGATGAAGGCTGGTCTTGCTGGCTACTTACAGCTATGATGCAGCCACTGTGCACTGTACTGCCCAGTCAGCTTTTAACCTGCTTCTGCTCACACATGTGCAGGTGGACATGCATTCACCTCAGCCAAGCTGCTCTTATTGCCTGTGGGGAGAGAGCTGCTGAGATGGTGTGGTTTAAGCCCAGCCGGTAACTGATAACCACCCAGCTGCTTTCTCATTCTCTCCCTTCTTCCTCCCCCCTCGCCACTCTGGGAAGGAGAACCAAAAGAACATCATTCCCATGGGTTGAGATAAGAACAGTCCAGAAACTAAGGTATAACACAAAACCACTACTGCTACCACCAATAATAATAATGATAAGGGAAATAACAAGGGGAGAGAATACAGCTGCTCACCACCAGCTGACTGATACCCAGCCTCACCTGAGCAGCGATCTGGGATGTCCGGGTAACTCTTCCCAGTTTATACACTGGACATGAAGCGCTCTGGTATGGAATATGCCTTTGGCTAGTTTGGGTCAGGTGTCCCGCCTCTCCTTCCTCCCAGCTTCCCCTCCTCCCTGGCAGAGTATGAGACTGAAGAAGTCCTTCATCGGAGTAAACATTACTTAGCAAGTACTAAAACCATTGGTGTTATCAGCGCTGTTCCCAAAGTTGAAAACACAGCACTGAAGTATCTACTAAGAAGGAGAAAAATGACTGCTACTGCTGAACCCAGCACAGATGGCCAGCTGCTTCTGTGAGTTTCGGGGTATAATTATCTGTCCTGCAGCCTGGTGCTTTGCCCCTTTAGTTACTGAAAAGCATAGTCTGCAGCAAGAGAAAGATGGGATGACAGTTGTGATGCTGAATCAGGATTTCATTGTGTGTATATCCTTATGGAGGGAAGAAAGAGATGTGCAGAAGCTGTACTCGCTGTCAGTGGAAACAGAAATTACACACGCTGTTTTAGGATGATTTGATGGTTTTAATAATCTCATCTGAAGACCTAGAGGCAAGGGGTGACTTTTGATATTATAAGAGTTTTGCAAAAATAAATTGATATTCCCATTTTGAAAGCCTACTCAAGGGCAGACCGTGCTTTAAACACTCTTGTTTGTGAAACTGATATTACACTAAGATATTTCATTGTGGATTTTTGTGATGAGGTGTCAAAACCATCTGAACACTTAATATGAAGTAAAAGACTGGAACATGTCATTGCTGCATATCTCTCGGTTTATCTTTATATTAGTTCAAGGCTGCCCTATCCAAGACTTATTACATTATTCGTAAGTTGGATTTAGGTTTCAAGTCTTTACCCAGCCAAAGCAGCATTAAAATCATATAAAGGACTAGAAATTTGCAGATGTAAAGGGCCTTTTGGTGCTTGATGACTTCAAAGTATAACTCTTACAGACTGATCTTTCCTAGAGCAAAACTCTGGCTGGGAATGGCAAAAACTCTGCCTGGCTGAGTAAGGGGTCACTGGGTTCTCCTCACTGTGTCTGGAGTGGCCAGGTGGGGCCTGCAATTCATTAGTGCAGAGGTTGTGTGTGCAGTGGTCACCTCCTTTCATCACTGAGAGGGAGGTGAAATGGATCTTGCCCAGCTCTGCTGGAGCTGCATGCAGTGCCACTGGGCAGTGAGGCTATTGACCTCCCACATAAGGAGGTGACTGGTAGGGGTAGCTCAGGGAATGGGAGTGGAGCGACCCACTGCCTCCAGAGAAACCAAGAGCAGGCAGGGGATATACAGACCCATGAGCCTGCGAGGGTTCATCTAGGAGCTCCTTCATCAAGGACTGTGCCTCTGTAGGATGCTTCAGTGTCAAATTTGCTTTCTTCTGTCAGTGCCCTGACAGGGTAGGAACATGAGGAGTGGATGTTAGTACATAATGTCACACTGGTTCTGGCATGGCTGCTCATCTGTGGCTGCCACGATTACCATGAATGTGCGCGATGTGCTCTGCAGTGCTTTGATGTATAAGAGAAGCTGGCTGAAGTGATGGCATGGCAGAGGCAGGGCTTTTCTGTTCAAAAGCCAGCTCTGAGCCCCAGCAGATCCAGCCACCTTAAAGCTATCTTCATGGAGCCAAAACTACTGTTATCCTCACCAAAGGTGTAACAAAAACTTCCAGATACTGATGGCTGCAATAGAAAACCCTCCCCTGAAGGGAGAGGGCAAAAGAAGAAAGAAGAATTAAAAACTCATGCAACAAAAGGGAGTTAAACACCTCTCCCGTAGCCTCCTCCAAATCCCAGAGACAAGGGAGTAGATATTACGAGGCAGGTTTGGTTTCTAGCAGCTTGATCTTTGCTTTTGTGTGCGCTTGGCTTTGTGAGCATTCATGTCCTGTTGGTAATTATACTTCTGTTGACACCTGTATTCATGATGACACCCCTATATCGCATTTTCATCCCAGTGTGAAATGTCACTATTTTTGCTTTTGTTTTGTTTAGTGCTAAGAATTTAGCCCAGAATCGGAAAAAAAGAAAAAAGACACTTCTCACAATGAACAATGGGCCATTGATAACCTTGCAGCTTAGTTACTGATCCTATCTCAGTACTTCCATCTGTCTCCTTCCTCCCACCCCTCTCTTCAAACAGACAAGGTTTTCTTTCAACAAGTTGATGACAGAATAATTTCTCTAGGTTGATTGTTTGCCCCACATGGCCCTCTGAAGATCATCATACAAGTAGAGGGAAGCAGATCAAAAGGCTGCAAGAAAAAGAGGCAGAGGATTGAAAAAATCCATCATAAAGGCTGCTCAGGTTTCAGTCTAATGATGAACAGGCTCGTAAAGTATTCTGAGACCTGTCAAATTTTCCCATCTAAAATCCAGACCTATTTTAAAAAGAATTTTCATAATGAATGTGCCTTTTCCCCCCATCCACAGGCTCAGAGTATTTTCTGAAGAAGTTCTGCAATGCTGAGGATTCAAACATTTGATCACATGCAGCAGCACAAGATAGATGGAGTACAGCTGACTCAACAGCTACAGGGGATTTGGGTAAGTGCCCACCATGTCAGCCAATAGAACTTACTAAAATATTGGTAAGTATCAAATTATTTGTGACCTTTTAAAGAAAATTCTTAGTTTATCACTTGTCAGACAAATTTAATCTCACTTGGAAATCTTAGTAGGAATAGCTTGTCAGGGAAGACAAATGCAAGGAATGGCTAATGAAAACATTAATTAGCAAATTGGCATCCAGCTGTGAAGAGTTGTGGTTTTGGTTTTAGGTTATTTTTGTTTGTTCATTTGTTTTTGGGTTTGTTGTTTGTTTTTTGTCTTTTGGGTTTTTTTGTGTGTGGAACTTGGCTTTTACCTACAGGTACACAGGCCAGATTCACACTATTAATGTGAGAGGAAGAAGGTTACAAACCCCTTGCAGTGCTGAGGCTATCAATGTATGTCAAGCCCACTCATGTTGCTCTCAGAATGGAAACAATCAGTTGCTTGAAGGAGGCAATGTTATCCAACTTATGGTGTCAGTCAGCCTATTCCCACAGTCACTGCATTGATGGAGGAAAAGTTTGGTGAGACTTCTTACCTGGCTCCACTGCAATTGAATTGCATGGGATTGCTGACTGGAAATTACATTGTCTCCTGTCACAAAGGTGTCACAAAGGACATAATAATTGCACCACCTTTGTTTATTTTTAAAGTAGTAATAATGACTATATTCTTGAATGAAAATAGTGGGGATTTGAAATCAAGTCTTCAGTTAAACTGACGAACTTACACAGTCCAAATTGACATAGTTAATATAATTGCTTTGTGTACTTCAGAGGAAAACTCTGTCATGGTCTAAGAGAAACAGAAGATATGAGTGTTAGCCATTCTTGCAAGATCTTGATCAAAGAATGTTTTTACCAATGTGTGATGTCTTGTTTTCTTTCAGCCAGGTCTTGGCAGTACCCCTCAATTGAAAAGGACCTCAAAACTTCTTTTAAGTCTAAAATGGCTATTAGAGGAACTTGAAACATGGCAAAAGAAATATTCACAAGTGAATCTTTCTATTTCACAATTGAAGTGATTTTTCTTTCTTTTTTAAAATATATTTTTCTTTAAAAAAATTCTGGTAACAGCTCTCTGATTTCACAGCATCTATGAAATCTGTGATATTACATGCTTTCTTAGACCAAGATATTAGCAGCATTATTGACTGCATATTTATTTAACTTTTAAGGATTAGATAAGGTTGTACTGTACTGCAGCAGGATTCTACAACTTTGCTGCTTGATTTCTGTTCCTAAAAGTAAGGAAATTGAAGTAATCATGATGTCATAAACTGTTGCTGTTTTTTGCCAGGAAAGTCTTATTTTACTGGTAACTTTTAAGCTGCAAACAGATAGCTACAGTATAATCTACTTGCTAGTGACATCGAGCATTATTTACTGAAGATTCATATTTATATTGCTCTCTTCAAAAGCATAAAAAGGGTAATCAATTAGAGTCATACTCATTTAGATCTTTATCTGCCCATGTGACTGCTGGACTCTGGGGTGCAGGCATATAGGATTAAGAGCATCTCACCACTAGATCAGTGTGTTTGAATCCAGACCATGGTTATAGGCAACTGAAGGCCATTAGCATACGATGACTCTTCAGTGGCCTATATCAAATGATTTGATAGTCTCTGCATATTTGCTCAGCTATAGAACCCCCATAATGATCAATGGTCTGATAAGAAAATCTGTAGACTGAATGTGCATGTCTGGAGAATGTGTTTCAGCCTAGGAGCAACCTCTTTGTTCGAGGATTTAGGGACACTCTCTGTACATTTCCCGTCCAAGGGACTTAAGTAATTATTGCTTTTGTGTTTCAGTCCAAGATGAACCTGGACTTGTGTTAGTCTCTCAGTGATTTTGAAATTGCACTGTCTCCACTGAAAGTGAAAAAGGAATGCAATGTAATGCAACTGCAACAGAGAAAAATTGGCCCATTTTGTCTCAGTATTAAATTAATTAGCCAGTGTCTTAAAAACACTCTAGTAGTGTTCGTTACAGATACTTCTATATGAATTAGCCAGTTTGTAGGTGGGTGCGGCATGGCTGGTGGTTACCTGATGATACTTTCTTTGTAATTAGGCTGCTTAAACTCTTTACTATAAATATTCTTTTAAGTGAAAAGTGGAAAATCCAATATAATTTATGTTTTAGTATTTATGATGTCAGATATGCAGTGGCTTTAACAGAAAAATCTATGTTTTCAGGAGGTTTGTATTCTTAGCATTTCATCTTGATTCCAGTTAAGTTGCACTAAAGATTCTAACTTCTAAAACACAAGATTAAAGAAATGCAGAGCTAAGTGCAAAAAGTCAAATTATGTGGATTCTAATGGTTAAAAAGAGGTCTTTTTTTGTCAAGAACTTCTGAATTTGGGCTAGAATGATCTTTTCGAATCACTGCAATAACCTCAAAATCTTATCCTGAATTTCCTTTATTTTTAATTAGGTCTCCTGATGTCAAAGTTTTTCTGATGTAGTCTGAAGAGTGTGAATGAGAGGAGACTTTTTCCAAAATTCTTTAATTATGGTTCAAAGTTTTGACCATAAAGCACTTCCTTCAAGCATGCTTTCCTTTCAAATCTGTTCTCACTGACAATATTCTCCACTTCATATCTGTATGAATGTCCTGTGGGAAACAGTGGCTAGCTCACGCAGGTTAGAAAAACACAATAAAAATCTGTCTTTCCTGTGAGGCTTAGGAGATGTGATTTTTGTGCATTTTTGTATCAGGAATATTAAACTTATTTGTGCTTTCACATTTAATTGCGGTATCTGGGAACCATGGAGTCAGAAACATAATTTCGAACAAAACCTCTAAATTTTTAGCTTATCTGTCAAATACATATTTAGGAACATTCGTTGTATGATAAGATGGGCAAGATTTGGAAAATGCTATCATTTCCTAGGTTAAAATAAATATCTGGAAAAGTTTCAGTAATATTTTCTGTGAAATGCAGGAAGAAAGATCTAAATATCCTACTGAAGTCATCTTTGTTGGAAAGCAAAGCAAGTATTCTGGCAATATTTAAAGTAAAATCTAGCTGTTCCATTACTAAGCATAACTAAAGTAAAATTACTATGGACCAGGGTGAGTGGAAGGGGTGCATTTGAAGAATATTAGTATTTCACTAGTGGATATAGGCAAAGTTAGAATAACTCTGATATTTAGCACAGAGTAACAGGTAAACAGTTTACTCCATGACTTCAACAGTCTTAAGTGAGTAAGTTTAAATAGATCTAGTAAGTCAAGATCTCTGGCTTGTTCAACAACTAGTTGTTCAGTATTTTTATGCTTTAATAACTGTATTTCCCTAACAGTTAACAGTTTTTCTCCTTAGAAGAGAAGGTATTATGTTACTTTATGTAAATCCCTTGGAAATACTTAATATAGTCATATATTCTTACCTTGTAAATATGTGGTTAACTTAATTTCTTTTCAGACCAGATTTCTTTTAATCCCAGTGCAGACAAGTTTTTGTTGTGTATGCGTGTCTGCATCATTACAAGTATAATGTTTCAAAGATTATTATGAATGGTTTTGGAGGTTTTTTTGGGGTTGTGGGGTTTTTTGTTTGGGTTTTTTTGGGGGAGGGTGGGGTTTTATTTTGTGAGGTTTTGTTTTGGTTTTTTTTGTCAGTATGGTACACCAGTTAAATTTCCCTAGTCTCTGAGCAGGCAAAAAGCCAGCCTCAGCTGGAGCTTTTGCCTATCCAAGGCTATGAGATGAAGCACCAGATGGACCTATACTAGTGCATGTCTCTCGAAGCACACCTTTCACTGATTTTGTAGGATGAAAACAACAGCATGCCTGTAAGGCTTCTATTAATTACCCAACATACATATTTAATTCTCACTACCAGTGGTAAGATTCACTGAGCAGTGTCTTTGGGAACCAGATCTAGATTTTCAAGCATTTTGGTGTTCAGCAGGGTTTAGAATGGTTATTTCATTTAAATTCATAAGCAAGCTATAGATTGTTTCCATATAAATAATTTATGGTCTTGAATTTTAGTTGCTGTGTCCCATGTTGGTGAAAATTTAGTCTTTGTATTTCACTAGTGATACTAGTGATTTTGGTGTGGCTTCCTGTTGTGGAAATTTGAACCAGAATTTTTTAAATTTTAGAACCAAAGCAAAACCATTGTATATTGCTTTTACAAAACTGAGCAAAAGTTTGTTCCCCCATCTCTCATTTTCTTTGGACAGTGTAAGCACCTGCTTGATTCACAGAATGTCTTTGCATTTGAGACTTTAGCTATGATTTAGTCTTCATCGTGTAAAGCTCCTGTTTGATTCTGATGGAAGTTTGATTAAGGAGGGGTTCCAAGCTTTGACCCAACATTTAATTACAAAGCTGATGTAATATGGAGCTAGTTCAGGACTCTTGTTTTTAAATCTCAGTAATGGAGAAAAATATGTGACTAGTGAATAAACACCAGTCATTCTAGGACCAAATAATTGATGCTGAAAACGATTTTTATGCCTGACTATGTGTATGTGTCTGTCTTGCATAGTCTGCAACTGCAAATCTTTGCATTCTGAATAGCTGTAAGAGAAAGGTATTAGCTTACCTATAGAACCAAAACTATTTTTGGTGGGGCAAAAATAAAAAAGCAGCTGTTTTTCTAGGGTGAACTGAACTCTGTTCTTAGTTTTATTATTTCATTACAACAAGTGTAATAATTTAACATGTATACGTCTGGGTTGTGTACCTTCAAATGCTGTATTTTTGGGAACATACAGTTTGTTCATAGCTTTCCTCTGTCATCAGCTTTAGTCCTCTGCTTAGGAAATTGCTGACCTTCAAGATACATATGTGTACCTCTGTGTCATGTATATATGTCATGTATATACATGCGTGTGCTTGTCTGCATGTATGTATTTTTTCAGCTTTGCAGGTTTTGCTTGGTGTCAGAAATGGGATGGCACTATAGAGTCTGAAATCAGAAATGTGTAAGAAGAGGAAAGCTATGTTTCAAAGTCTCAGCTCCAAAGATAATCCACAACCAGAGGGAAACTTTGTAATTGAAAAGTGTCTTCAAATTCTTCTTCTCTTGGGTGCCCTTTACTCTGTAATTATCCTTTTGAAAACAGCCAATTATGACCATTTGGTAAGCTTGTCTTCAAGACAGATACTGTGAAGTTCCAAGTCCTATTTTATCTGTTTCAGAAGAGCCAAGGCGATGAAGTAGAAGGCAATAGTGAAAATGTTATCTGAATATTTTGCATGTACAAGTTAAAAAAAGTTCAACAGAAGAATCTGAGGTAGAGAGAGGTAGTCTTCTGGTTTTGTTCACCAAGTTACTTTTAAGTGATAGCAAATGATCTAATATGCATCTAGAAACAAGAGGCTCTAGAAGACCTGACAGCAGTACATTTAATGTACTTCACAACTATTCACAACTTGAGTGCAGGTACCAAAGCAAATGTGGCAGTAAGACAAACGTAAATCAACAACACAAGAAACTATTTTAGGCATGTAAAATACATGTATAAAAACACATTCTTCACTAGCTTTGTTACATAATGTCCTGGGTTCAGCAGTAGCAGTCATTTTTCTCCTTCTTGGTAGCTGGTGCAGTGCAGTGTTTTGACTTTCAGCTCGGGAACAGAGCTGATAACAAGGATGTTTTGGTTTGGCCAAGGACTTTGTGAGCCTCATGCTCTGCCAGGGAGGAGGGGAAGCCAGGAGGAAGCAGAGACAGGACACCTGACCCAAACTGACCAAAGAGGTATTCCATACCACAGCACGTCATGCCCAGGATGTAACTGGGAGTTAGCCGGAAGGGCTGGGAGACTGCAGGGTTGGAGGAGGTATCGGTCGGTGCTTGGTCGGGCTTGGGGGGCGAGTTATCAGTCAGCTGGTGCTGAGGTGTTGTATTCTCTTCCCTTGTTATTTCCTTTATCATTATTATCATTGGTGGTAGCAGTAGTGATTTGTGTTATACCTTAGTTACTAAACTGTTCTTATCTCAACCCGTGGGAGTTGCATTCTTTTGATTCTCCTCTCCGTCCCTCCGAGAGCAGGGGGAGGGCAAGAAAGGGGGGGAAGTGAGCGACCGAATTACCTGACTGGGTTTAAACCACGACACATACTTCTTGCATATATAATTTTCTCTCAGAAGTTTTCATTTTTACTATTAAATGTTTTTTTCTTTTGGTTTTTTTGGTGGGTTTGTTTGTTTGTTTGTTTTTTAAACTGCCACACCCTGTGAATGAAAAATAAAGAACAAGCAGAAGATTACAGGATGCTCTCGTAGAACATCCTATAACCATGATAACAGGATGAATATTTGATATAATACTTAGAACTGTCTCACAAATGATTTTCAATAAAAATGTATAATGGAAACAGTGAATGCTTTTTACAATGGAAAATTTTTGAAGATCTTTTTAAAGAGGGTGGGTAAAGAAGAGAAATAAATGGGTGGTGAGAGAGGAAGGAACAGGGAATCTAGATAGGCCAAACCACTGTTTCTTCATAAAACTAAGTTCCTAAATTGACTGAAAAATGGCTTTTGTTTAAATCATAAGCGTCTTTGGAATCTTGTGGGAGTTTTCTGACATAGTGAAGTTTGTGAAAACAAGGGTCATGGCTTTGTAAAATGGTAATGATTAAGTTTAAAGACTGTGATGCAACTCGAGCCTTTGTACTCTTCAATGATACACTGCACAGAACAGTAAGATGTGCAGGGGCAACTCAATGCTGAATATGTAGGTAACTTCCATATGATTTTGACTCATGGATTATAAATCACCCTATTCCTGACACTTGTATATTATCTTCCTTTTCTTTTTTTTTTACATGAAATTTTAATTTCATATTCATGTACAGACAATAAGGTTATGATGTTTCTGTCACTAGTTTGATAAGACTTTTGTGCTGCTCAGATGAAATTTTCAGCAATATCAATATAGTACAAACCTTTTGGTTAAGATGCCTTTTATGTTTGGGGAACTGAAGTTTTAGAAATTTCCATTGAGAAATAGATTGCCAGAGGCCTCTAAAAACAGGCTGGAAAACCAGGAATGGCTGCCTTGACTCCTGCTGGGGTGGGCAGATAGGTGAGATTGGCCTCTCATAGTGCTTTCTAGCCCTATTTCATTTCTCTTGAGAAATGAAAAATAATGTATATTCCTAACTTATTTAACTGAAATCAGGAGTATTCAGCTCAACTGGTCATGTTGATCCATGTGCAGACAAGTCAATAGACAGGAAGCAAGTAGGGCATTACTGGTTGTGTTAAAATTGGTCTTGTTCAGAATACAGCTAGAGAACTAATCTTATACATACTTAATGTTTTAATTCAGCTTTGTATCTTCGTAGTCATCTCTTCTTTCTCTGAAACACAGCAGCAGAAGTTGTTTAATAACTAAAATTTTAGAATTTAAGTTCTTCTTTTCATCTAAAACAACAGCTACAGCATTCTCAGTGTCATCTTTCATTATTATTTTTTCAAACAGTGTTTATTTGATAGTAAATATTACTGTGGCAGTTAGAAAATTGAAGTCAGCTTAGATCTTGGTAAATTGCTCTTTATTTATACCATTGTGATGGACATCAGGAACCAGCTCATGTACAACAGAACAATAATAGCCACTTTATCGATATAACTGTTGTACAAGCAGAGATAAGGATCCAGTACACTGGAGAAATGCCAGTTTTCCAAAGGAAAAAATATTTCTTTCAAAATAAAGTATGAATTTTCATAGTAAACAAAACACCACCGTACTTCACTTAAGAGTAATTGAGAAGGTGAGATCATGAAAATATAGAAGTTTCATAGCAACACAGTTAGAAAATTTATTTTCTTATGTCTCCACAGTTCTTCACCAGCTTTAGCTGTAAGTGCTGTCAAATGCCACAAGAGTCTAATGGAAAAGGATTAGAAGGTCAAAGAGTGCTTTCATTTAGAGTTTTATATCTACCTGAAACTGAAAGGAGGTTGCACTGTTGCCATAGATCACACTTTGGGGAAGCTGTGCAGGCCTTGGTAGCAAAACAGCTTTTGAATATGGTATTAGAAGTTATACCTGATTTAGAAAACATGCAGGCTTAGCAGGAAGCTGGCATTTCCAATTTTCTTATTTTTATTCTGTGGACTTCCAAGCAGAATTATGCAGGAGTAAATGGCCAAGAATTTGCACATGCCTTTGACTTTTTTGCTGTAGTTGGCTTGTTTGCTGACAAGAAGCACTTGGGAGTGTCTTCTATGGGTCATCTTTCAACACAAGCCTTTAAATTCCAGGTGTGTGAACTCTGAGCCTGTTTTGAAAGCTAGCGTACGCCTTTCTATTAATTTGAGCAGATGAGCTCAGACTGCTGTGTAGCTATAAAAGGTACAGATAAGAGTGTGCTGTTGTCAGCTCTTCTCTGCAATGCGTAACAGCTTCTTGCCATGCAGGGTATGGCTGTGTTAGCTGTGCTGCATTTATGGAGTTTATGAATGGTTTTTGTCCATTTGGAGAAAGGTGGTGATCATTATCTGTGTCTGTAGTCTTAGAGAAAGCAAGACTCCTAAATCTTAGAATTGCTCAGTTTCTGTCTAGGCAAATGCATTGCTGCATTTGAGGTCTACATTAGCAGAAATATTTCATAAGATTCCAAAGTCTTATAATAATAATTAATAGACACTTCGATTCATGGACAAAAATCTCAATATTTTGGGATATTTTTCACAAAAGCATGAATTACATTTTGGTTTTTGGTTGCACTGAATACCACACGTATTACACCTTGGAGTTTTCCTTCCAAGAGGAATAGTTACTCAAGACACTAGTAAGCAGTGTTCTGATGTCATGGTCCATTTGCCAGATACAATTCAAGTATGTGCAGACTCTGTACATAAGTTCACTGCAATTGCATGCATGCTTAAAAGAACAGATTTTTGGCAAGTATTTATGAACTGATTTTTATTCTAGGACCTTGAGCCTGAGAATTTGTCAGCAAGCCGTTTATCTGTATGGTTTTCAAGGACTTGGCTACAACAAATCTAATGTTCCAAGGTGCCTTTCTCAAAGAATTTTTACACTGAAATGACAAAAAAAAAAAAAAAGCTGTTGGAGTTTAAGCGATCCAAATCTATTGATATATTTTACAGTTTTTTTTTCCTTTTATATCATCATTAAGTGCTTTTATTGCCACAAGTGTTGATTAGAAGATGTAGAACTGAATAGAAATTGTACATTACTCAGAAGTAGAGAAATGGGCCCTGCTGCTCGTGGCCTCTTTCGCATAAGATTTTGAGCTTTATCCTCAGTCCATTTGCAGGAGGCCATCACCTCTCAGGTGGTTAAATGTCTGCAGTAAGCATCTTTAATGCAATGAACAGATGTATGTAGTAACCACCTAATGTTTTGCTAGGTTTTGCAATGGAACAGATATGGTTAGTGCTCCTGCTGACGATTAAAGTGCTTTCAGTGACTGCTCAATTCAATGGATACAACTGTGATGCTAACCTCCATAGCAGGTTTCCCGGTAAGTGTTTAATAGCCCTCTTTTACTAATGGCTTCTTTATTTCCTTGGTTCAAAGCAGTGCTTGATTTTAAATGCAGAGCTTTAAATCTGTCTGAAGCCTGGGGGCAAGACTCCACATTAAGTGAGGATTAACTATCTTGGTGAAAATGAAACTCCTCTAATATTGTGCTTTGCTTTACTTCTTACTTGCACAATGGTTCAAATTAGTAGTAATCAGAACACCCCCCCTGATATCAGTGGACTTTTACCTGCTTTTGCCACACCTCTTTCGTGACCAAGATATTCACCAGAAAATCATGTTATTGTAAATATTTTCTATAGATTTGGGTCAGAAACATCTAGTTGGGTATTCTTTCATGTTTTATCTGGGTAAGAGAATATTCTAATGTCCTTTTATTGAAATAAAGAAATATCTATTTTTGAGCAAAATGAAGTTGATGGCAGAATTTAGTGCTGCATTTCAATATTAAATTGCATGTATCTATGTATGATGTACACTCATGCCTCTGAGAAAGTAGGAATGATGTTTTGAGGACACTAGGTGTCCAGACCTGTTAATACAGTGAGGAAAGAAATGTCAGTTTTAGTAACATGTCTCAGGGTTCACTCAGCTAAAGAGAACTTTTACTCACTGTTACATTGCTTATCCTTCCTGCCTCTGCTGTTTCTTAGGCAGAACAATAATAATAATAATAATGGCTGTGAATAGTGTCTTGCTCACATCTTGTATTCTGAGACAGCAATTGAACTGAACAGTATAGTGATGAACTCTCAGTATAGGATTACCCTGTAATACCATTCAATGTAGTTGCTTTCTGAATTAGAATAGTTTTCACTTTTTATTGTTTTGTTTCATTTTTTCTAGAAAGGGGCAGCTCTCTTATTAAACTTAATTCAGCAGAAAGCCTACAGTCTGTTTATTGTGTCCTGTGTTGCCACCATACTTTTAGGTACTTTGTTGGCAGTGGATTTGATTCTTTTTCACTTAACGTGAATATGAAGAGCAGAGAAATAAGACATGCAAAGAAGATCAAATACGTTGTCCCCATCCTTGACAAAATCTCTGTTTAACTGAGTATTTCACAAACTGCTTATATATTCCCCTTCTTAAAAGTAAGAGTTATACAGGCTTGCTTCGAATGTTTGTGTGAATAGTGCCCACCCTTCTCAGATCTAGCTTTTGTAGCTTTTCATGTAACTGTTTTTCTGTTCTTGAGAGGATTGCAACAACTGGAGGGAAATTTAGATTCCTCTTTCTGTTCTTTTTCAATTTTTCTCTGGTCATTTTTTTGCACCAGCCCTGTGCCATAGTTTTATATTCGCAATGTGATACCGATGAATTGAATACAGCTCTTTCTGTGGGTGTTTAGGGGCCTCCTGCAGTTCTGCCTCACCTCCCCCCCCCCCGCCCCAAGAAAAAAAAAAAAGTCATCTCAGATTCCATGTCTGCCAAATCTCAGGGACTTGGGAGAAAATTGTGTTACAAGTAAGTGCTAATCACCCCACACTGCCCATAGTTGCTGAGAGTAGAGTCCTGCTCTTTCTTGCTTGTGATGTCAGGCAGTGAAGATTCAATGCTTGGAATTTTTTAGTGCTGATTTTGAGAGCTAGAAAAGAAAAGTAACTCTGCATTTGAGATAGATAGAAGTAAAAAAAAAAGTTAAAACCTTTTGTCCCAGAATTTGACAGGCATTATTCTCAGTAGGCAAAAGGGAATGCCATGTAATGGGCTAGGGCTCTGGAGCTGAGTGAAGCTGCTGGAGCTGAGTGAAGCTGCTGCAGCTCTGTTTCCTGGGTTGAAGAGCTCCAGAACACAGGTGAGAGAGCCTCTTCAGGTAAAGGGGGTTAACTGGACTCCAAATATTTATTCACTTGCAGTTTCCTGCTACACTGCAGTGCTTTGGCTTATGAATATGCTACTAAATGATTTGCCAGGGAAATTTGAAATTATGTTTTGTGTGGTAGACTCTTTTACTATATTAATTCTTGTGCTTTCTTTACTGAAGTTGTAGGGTCAAATCTTTTTTTTTTGAATAATGCTATTCTGACCTTTATATTCCAATATTTTGCCTTAACTGGGGTCTAAAAATTTATTTGATCAGAAGTTACAACAGTAGAGTAACTGCTACAATAATTACATGGTGATTACTTGAAATACATCTTACAATGCCTTTTCCTGTATTTTTATCACAGCTGAACGAGATATCAATGTTTTCTGTGGAGTACAGACAATTACTATGAAGATAAATTTTTGCACAGTTCTTTTCTCTGGCTATTCTGAGACAGATCTGGCGCTGAACGGGAAACATGGTGATGCCCACTGCAGGGGTTTCATCAATAACAACACCTTTCCAGCAATGGTCATTTTCATCATCAATCTGAGTACTTTAGAATCCTGTGGAAACACTCTAGTGGTAAGACAAAGTCAAAGTGAAATTGTAGCATGGCTGTTTATGAATAGAATCAAGTGAATGGCCTTAACAGCATTGTATCTCTTAAACATGATGTTTACTTTGTCTTACCCAGTTAGTAATATATTGCATATACCAAAAAAATCTAGAGAAAGTTTGGTAATTTGTAATCATGATTAGTAAAAAGAAAATGTGTTGGGACGCACATTTGTCTTCTGATTAGAAAGTATACCTTAAGGCAACTATCCAGCCAATTCCTTATCCATCGAGTGGTTCATCTGTCAAATCCATGCTTTTCAGTTTAGAGACAAGAAAGCTGTGCAAGGCATTGTCAAATGCTTTGTACAAGTCCATGTAGACGATGTCAGTTGCTCTTCCCTCTCCAAATCCGTAACCCTGTGGTAGAAGGCCACCAGATTAGTCAGGCATGATTTGCCCTTAGTGAAGCCATGCTGCCTGCCACCAATCACCTCCTCATGTTCTCTGTGCCTTAGCATAGTTTCTAGGAGGACCTGCTTCATCATCTTGAAGAGCACAGAAGTGAGAATAAGCAGCCTGTAGTTCTCCTGGTCTTACTTTTTTTACCCTTTTTAAACATGGGGGCTATATTTCCCCTTTTCCAGTCAGTGGAAATTTCACTGGACTGCTGCAATTTCTCAAATATGATGGATGCTGGTTTAGCCATCTTAGTTCATCTTTGTGCAGCTAATGACTAATCTTTAGCTGTGGGTGAGTTTCTGGAACCAGAATTGGAACCAGGAGCTGACTTGGAAGTCTGTTTTGTACCACTGTAATTTCATTTTATTCAATAAAGCTATCTTACTTGGAACAGGGAGAGAAGGACCCATGAGGTCTCAAACCTTCTAAACGGAGGGAGAAGAGTTGTACCATTTGTGTATATCACAATGTACAAGCAGTGATGACTTGTATTAAAGTATCTATGAATAATTTAGAAAAGCAAATGTAAAAATGTATTATTTTTAAGGCTTATATTGTATCTGGAATTCATACTTGCATTTGATGATACCTGTCAGTTTTTAAAACAAACCCCCTCTTTCGTTGCTAATAACTTTGCAAAACCGGGCTGGAATGTCCAATATACTCTGTGACCTATTTGCCTCAGATTTTCTTTTAATATTTCAACAAGAACTGTTCACCAAGTTCAAGATTATCTTCTACCATTTTCCCTAAAACGCTGTAGCATCTCCATGACTTGGAGTAGAAGAATTTGACAGGAAAAAACATCTTGCTGTTCCCATAGAGTTGATCACAGTAAATTCCCTGAACTTCCTATTTGAGTCTAACTGCAAAAGTTTGATTTTTTTAAGGAAAGGAAAAATTGAAACAAACAAAACTCCACAAAACCCAAACGAACACTGGTTCCAGTATTTGGAGTCCTAATAAATTGGGCTCCCAAAGGCATGCCAAGGGGAGCATGGCACTGCACCAGCATTGCTTCTTCAACACCTTTTTCATCTGGGACACCCACTCAACTGGAAGATGTCAGCCTCAGATCCATGATGCCACGCAAATTGGGGTTAGAGTCAGCATTTGGAGAGCCACAAAGCCTACAGCTCTTAGAATACTAGGGCTGGAAAAATCATGCCAATGGGAGCATGGCACTGCACCAACATTGTTCCATCAACACCTTTTTCATCTGGGACAATTACTCAGCTGGAGGATGTAAGCCTCAGCTTGAAGATGTCACACAAATTAGCGGTCTGGTTAGGGATGTATTTATGGTTTAGGGAGCCACAAAGCCTACAGCTGGAGGGATATTGATGCTGCCAAAGGCATGCCAGGGAGAGCACAGAAAAAAAAATTGACAGGTTGAGTAAGTCGGGGCTGTTCATTCTGGAGAAGACAATCTGTGTAGAGACCCCATAGCAGCTTTCCAGTGTTTGAAGGGTGCCTACAAGCATGCTGGGGAGGGACTCTCCATTAGAGACTGTCGTGATAGGTCAAGGGATAATGGGCTCAAATTTAAACAGGGGAAGTTGAGGTTAGATATAAGGAATAAGTTCTTTACTGCGAGGCACAGGCTGTCTGAATGCTCCATCCCTGGCAGCATTCAAGGCCAGGTTGGATGGAGTTCTTGGGTGACATGGTTTAGTGCGAGATGTCCCTGCCCAAGGTAGGGGGTTTGATATTAGATTAACTTATTGTCCTATCCAATCCTAACTATTCTATGTTTTTATGATTCTAATTGGATCTTTCCATGAAGCTCCCCAACCAGGGTGCACAAGATACAAAGTAGCAACTGCTAAAAATGTAACCAGAAACCCCTTTCATCCTCTAAGCTTTGAATACTATGCCACAAAGAAGGAGGCTAGAGGAGCTAGGAGTGTTCGTTATCATGTTCCCCACAGTGGAGTGATAAAATCCTACGCATTTCTTGGCTGTGTTTCACAGTAATGACCTTCAAACTCATTTTTTGTAGGATATACAACAGTTGAGGCAGCACTCAGGTAAACCCCAGGTCTGTCTGTAATACATCAGATGCAACTTTTTAAATTTGGGAGGTGGGAAGGTGAGGAAGCTGTAGTTGGCTATACTACTTTAATACTCTAGCCTGTGTTTTTCAGTCAACAAACAAATCCTAGGAAATTTGATTTTCATCACTTTCCTGCCATTTAGCAAATAACTAGGTATACAACTGACAAAGTATAAGACTGCATCTGTCTTGTAGTCATTTCTTTTGTAGCCAAAGAAATAAAAATAGCTCCTGTGCTACTTTATGCAAAATGTTGAAATACATGTGCATCTCAGGATGATTCCTCCATAATGAAATGTCTTTTTAAGAAACTGCAAATTCTAAAACTATTGAAAGCATCTCTTTTGCTAATACTGTGATGCAAAAGGAATGCTACAGTGGATGTCCAATGCCCTGTTAATCCGCCTTATTGTGTACATGCCTACTGAGACAGGGCCCTACTGAGAGGCCTGCATGTTATTTCTGGCTCAGCTCACTCTGTGAGCCTGAGCAGTACAGGATAGCAGACATTCAGCGACAGAATTAAGATTGCATTGGCATTAAGATTGTATTACTTTTCAGCTCTGGCATTTCTGACAATGTTTCTTTGCACATAGTTTATAATTTAAATTTAGAGGTGTCGAACGTAAACAAAACCAGACTTGAAGTTCAGCTGTTTGGCTTGTATCTGCTTACAAAGTACACTCCTTTTGATGTGTCGAAAACAAAGCTCAAGAGTGACAGAGTATTGTTTCTATGAACGAAATGTCTTGTGTATTGGCTTTACTGAATATGGAAATTCATTTTAAGCAAATATATTTTAACTGTACTCAAAATGTTTCTTCAGCTTTTTTTCTCAGTAAGTCGTGAGGTTTTTTTTAGTGTTGCTCAAGTCTGTTTCAAGAACAGGGATATTTCTCATGAAGTGTATATGCGTTATTTTGGGTAGGTGAAAAACAAAACACAGGGAACATATTATTGAGCTCAATTAATTTTTGAAGGCTTTTCTGAAGGTATCTCTGGCTGAATTATGGGCCAAAGCATCAGTGTCCTTAGGTAATTTTTGTTCCATTGTTAACTTTCTGGTAATAGGAATTTTTATCTCCCTCAATAGGTATCCTCAGTTCAAGGTATCAATGCTTATGGAAATACCTCAGTGGTACAGATAGGTAATGTTTCAGGCTATATTGATACACCAGACCCACCAACGATTATCAGCTATTTGCCTGGGTTGCTGTACAAATTTAGCTGTAGCTATCCACTGGAGTACTTGGTTAACAATACCCAGCTTGCTTCGTAAGTGTGTTTTTTATTTCTATATGTTTCATTCCCATGTTTGTGTAAGCCCATGTGTATGCACACACATGCACATACACCTAAGCATATGCATGCCATAGCAGTATTGTCAACCTAGTAATTTTTAGCTGTGCAAGAGTAAAGAGGAAGGGAAAAGCACTGAAAGAAGAGGTGATGCAAAGGAAAAGAAAATACTATAACATCACTGTATGAGAGAACAGTTTATGAGGAGCTGCCTGCCTGCCTTAAATAATGTAAAGTTTCCTTTAAAACTCAGGTTGCCTGATGACAAAATGGAGGCAGCAGAATAATTAAAATTCTTGATGAAAGTTTGAAAGCATTTGAATATAGAGTTCAAAATAAAATATTTCCATGACTATACCTTGTACATCATGACCCTTTTGTCACTTTGCCTTTCTACTGATTATTTTTCTGATGTGTTTTTTTCAACAGTATCCATTATTTTCTTCATAGTTAAGGTTCTGTCAATGTTCCAACTATAAATTCCTATTTCTGAAGTTTATAACTTCTTGCAATATGACTCATTGGCTTTTTTTTAATGATAAAAACCAATGAAGTACGTAAACACACACGAAGATATCTTCATGATATTTTTTGGTTTCTGCTTCTGTTGTAGGTCATCAGCTGCTATTTCTGTAAGAGAGAACAATGGTACATTTATCAGCACTTTGAATTTGTTGCTTTACAATGTGAGTAAAAAACACAGTAGTATGACCTGAATTAAAACCATTGCTGCGCACTATGTGGGTACAAGCTAGATTAGCAGAACAAAGTATAGACTCTTCCTTATTATTTGCTATTCCCTTCCCACTGCTCCCATGAACCAGGACATTCATCCAGGCACCTTTTATCTCTGAATTTCCTTGTCCTTTTTGTTTGCATGTACCTGTTCTGTATTTGTATGGCAGGTCTTTGAGGACAGACAGAGTCTTTTTTTGTCCTGTATTTATACAGTTCCCCAGTTTAGAGCTCTGGCTTTCAGGTTGTAGTGCCACATGACTAATCAGTTGTAGTAATAATGATCGTACTCCAAAGTGTAAATTTGCATTTATTATGTTACTATATATATATGTCTGTGTATGTGTATATTGTACTGACACAGGGAGTGCTCTGTAGAATTCCGTAAAAATATTCCAGACCTGTTCCCTTAGTAATAACCTGGAGCACTCTTGCTGGGGTATTTTTATGTTCATGCTTCATCAGAATGTTTTGGTCACCTGTAATTGAATTGAGGGCTGTGGAATTTGTTCAAAAAAGCCCACTGCACTTGTGACCTCATTGCATGGACTTCCAAGATTTGAAGGGTTAATAATTTTAACATTTTCTAACACTACTCCCATATGTTTTAGATAATTTAACTTTGATATGCATTATTGTAAAAGCTTTTACTACGTAAATGTGGATGGTGACAGTAAAAGATGAAAAATTCTTGTACCTTTACTTAATATCCCCAAAATGATATTTTTTATGTTGATTAAAATTTTTACTCATCCATTTATATACCTGATTTAAATATCAAATTTTCAATCTATCAAGCATCATTTTTAGGGAAAATTCTGCAGCCTCACTTGGTCCCTGTTAGGGAGTTCTGGATTTAGGAGGGACCTCAAGGCTCTTGTCCACACTTGGCATTGGTGAGGGGTTGTGTACAGATTTGGCTCTTGACTGAAAGCAGCCATACTTTTAAATTTTAGCTGTAATGTTATTTCCTAACATTGATTCTTCATCTTTCAGCTCGCTTCCATATTCCCTCAAAAGGTGATGTTTACGTTTATGTTGTTAGCATGTTATTGTTAGGAAAGACAAGAGGAGACATGATAGACTAAAGAGTTTAATAGCAAGATATTTATTGGGCTTTCACAGATCCTAAGTGGTTGTGTGCTTTTAGGTTTTCCTGTAAATATCTGTCTAACTGAATAAACCTACTCTTTAAGAAAATAAGAACCGTGGAATGCAAGAGTGAGGGACTTTCTGTGCACTTTTTAATCAGTTGCAAAATGTGACAGAGCTACCTATTAGAGAAATGTAAGGTTAATTTTAAAGAAAGGAAACTTACCTGAACTTACTTAAATGGTTTGTCAAGGACTTGCTTGTGTATGTCACAGAGCTGGTCTGTGTGTGCATGTACACTTCCCAAGGGCCCTGATGCTGCAGAGATTTAATATTGGCATGCTCTGAATTTTGGCATTGTTCTTTTTGGAAAACATAGGTGATTTTGTGCTTAATCCTTGTTGCTGTCAGCTGCTGGTCTTGGCCTTGCCTGCCACACTGAACCTGGTCAAAATCCTGCTTATAACAAAACTTTTTCTATGTATTGAGTGTTTTGACCTTGACCAGGTCTCAAAAGTACTAAGCCCCTGTGCTTTCGGAGTTAGCAACCAATTTGACGTAGGTGATGTTACCAGTATGTGCATTTTGATATGCTGAATTAACATCCGTCACTCACATCCGCTTTGTAGCTTTGCGGCTGTGCTGACATGAATGGCTCAGCCTTTGAACAAGAAACCAGTAAAACTGCTATATCTATGTAGCAGTATATGGGGCATTCCCAGTTTTTATGTTATATACAGCTTTCTTGAAACAGCTTTTTTAAATACTGGAATTTAAATGAAAATGTTTACTTGTAGTTATCAACAAGCCAACTTCCATCAAAACTACACTTTGCAAAATAGAATGTGTCTGTTTTCCCAAACTACAGCTTAAGATATATAAACGCTATCTCCTGCGGCACTGTTACAATCTAGTCAAGCTCCTCTTTTAGAAAACTACAGTAGCTGATATATTTGCCTATAGGTGCTGCGAGGCTTAATGAGATGTTAATGATTGCTACATTTTCTTTAATTAAGAATCCAACCACTTCATAAAATCATAAGCAGTTTCCCTAAAATAATTGCATAGGATAAGGCCAATTAAGCGTTTCTCATCTTTACAAACTTGTAGCCAAATGCTCTGGCACTGCTTTTTACTTCTTCCGTTTAAGGAGGACAAAGTAAATGACTGTCCCACATTTTTCAGTCAGAAAAATTAGATGGAAGCTCAGCCTGTGGCTGCAGGTGGACTGTTACAGTAGAATTTCTGGTACACTGAGGCAATGTTTGTTTTTCAGGATTCAACCTACAGCCATCAGCTCCTTATTCCAAGTACAGGTTTACCTTTGAAAACCAAAATATATGCAGCTGTAAGAGCAACCAACCTTGATGGCAGGTACCATGAAGGATGTTATTTCTTGTCTTGCTTGCTATTTAGCTTTTGGTGCTGCAAATTTTTCTGATTTAGAAGCAGCTATCTTTCTTCATAGACTTTTATATGTCAAAATATTGGTTGTTGTTTGATAATCACTGCCCTCAGCTCTGGGGTATCAGGTCCTTGATTGTGAATTGAATGCATATCTTGCTGCTGTCCTCATGATAAAAGTTCTCCTGAATAGTAATTTAAATTGTATATTGCTCTTATTTAAGAAAGGAACTTGATCAAGTGAGAAATTCTAGGGCTTTTAAAAGTGGGATGGTTTTTATTTCTAGTCCTATGAAACCATGACTTCTGACACGAAGTACACAACCTGCGTTGGTGTGACAGCTGACTTGCATGAAACCAAATCATTTGATTTATACAATTCTGCTGCTATACTGTGCTGTTTAACTTTTTAAGTAGTGGGAAGAAACAGGTAATATATTGAGAATGCAAGATCACTTCTATGTGACCTGTTAAGTACAGCAGCTCAGCTTCAGTGTAACAGCCTGCATTATCAGTTTGTATGCTTGCCTTACTGCTCTTAATCTTACCTCATTTGCTTTCTAACCCTACTCTTACATTGCTAGTTCACCTCATCTATCACTTTGCTTCCTGTGCAGGTGGAATGTTTTGATGGACTACTGTTACACCACACCATCTGGTAATCCTAGCGATGATCTCCGATATGATCTTTTTTTCAGGTAGGTCCTGTGCACACTCAGTATTTCATGGGTCTTTTCTTTAAAATACAGTTATAAATCTTTCCAATAGCAGTGCTCCAAACTACCTGGAAAGTTTAAGCAATAATAGCAGGGAGAAACAAAGGCTAGGCTTACAGATAACATGTCAGGACTTATCTGGTTGGTGAACATGAACACAGAAGCAAGAGCAACGTCATAAGAATTATGAAGGTAGAGAAGCGTATATCCAAAATGGCTCTACTAGAGATACCGTAAGCACACAAACTGAATAGCTAAACTGGCCTTTATTTTACTAAAGGCACCATTGTGGTGAATGACAGTGATGTAAAACATCACAGACTCCAGTTCAGGAAAGCAGTTAAGCAAATGATTAAAGACAAATGCTCCTGCTTCTACTCCTAGCAGTAACATTTATTTGAATTGGAACTTTGAAAAACATCTTGGCATATCTCAGATTAAATCTTAGCAGTGACAGTTGCTAGAGGGATATTGTCTATGTTTTTGAGTTGCCTGTTAGCATAGAATCATAGAATCATAGAATCGTTAGGGTTGGAAAGGACCTTAAGATCATCTAGTTCCAACCCCCCCCCCCCCCCCCCCCCGCCGTGGGCAGGGACACCTTATGCTAAATCGTATCACCCAAGGCCTCGTCCAACCTGGTCTTGAACACTGCCAGTGATGGAGCACTCACAACCTCCCTGGGCAATCCATTCCAGTGCCTCACCACCCTAACAGGAAAGAATTTCCTTCTTATATCCAACCTAAACTTCCCCTGTTTGAGTTTTTACCCGCTACCCCTTGTCCTGTCACTCCAGTCTCTAATGAAGAGTCCCTCTCCAGCATCCCTATAGGCCCCCTTTGGATACTGGAAAGCTGCTATGAGGTCTCCACGCAGCCTTCTCTTCTCCAGGCTGAACAGCCCCAACTTTCTCAGCCTGTCTTCATATGGGAGGTGCTCACCTGATTACTCTTTGCTTCAAGTCTCAGGTTTCTCTGGGGACTTGAATTAAATAGTACCTTGGTTATAGCTGTGGTGTTTCAAAACAAAACATTGGTTTTTGTAGAAATGTATTTCAGCACAGGACGGTGCAGCCTAACAGGCAGATTGTGGCTTCCCATGTTTCACATTAGGTTGCTGTGCTCTTTTCCAAGGAGCTGAAGCATTGAACTTACTAAGTGACCTTATTCTCAGTTTAGAACTTCAGAATGCTAATACAGCTGCTTATCCCAGTTTCAATCTTCTCTACAAAAACTAGCTGTGACAAGGACCCACAGACAACTATAATTGAAAATGGCAAGAGCCAAATGGGCCGGTTTTCCTTTGAGGTGTTTCGCTTTGTGAAGCACAAGAACCAGAAGATGTCTACGGTCTTCCTTCACTGCGTGACAAAGCTGTGCAGAGCAGATGACTGTCCCTTTCTTGTGCCAGTAAGTTTCAGTGAAGGGAAGCTGCTGTTAATTAAACTAGGCACACTGGAGTTATTCTGCATACAAATGCTATGGAAGTTTCAATGGCACAGAATTAAGGTGACTTGTAATCTGAAGAATGTCTTTGTGTCTGAAGAAACATAAAATTGATGAACAGAGCAATGAATATTGTCATCCAGACACAGAATACTACTAGACCTGCAAAATGCAGGTTGTTGAACACATGCGACATTACCTGTTTGCTTTTTGGTCCTTAATTCATTTGTAAAAGTTGAAAACAGGTAGCTTCAGAGCTGATATTCTTAGTACTGCATCTAAAAAAAAAAAAAATATCCACAATTGCAGTGGATGAATAGGAATATCTTAGAATGGAAGTTATGGAAAACTTAAACCTATAGTAAAGTGCCATTATACCGTTAAGGAAAATTTGAAAGTTTCTGATGGGGGCTGGGGGGGGGGGGGGGTGGAATTACATTCCCTATAGTTTGGAAACTGCTGTTTTGTTGAAGTTCATGAAGTTATGACAATTAAAAATTATTTCAGTTTAGGAGTGTCAGGAACAAGAAATATATTTTGGAAACTGAAACATCTAAATAAACATATAAACACAGAATATTCTGTGGTGTCTTCAGAATACAGTATCATTTCCTACTGAATGACTTCCCATTTAGAATTTTAAAATGCTATCAGTTCACTATACTTCTGACATTTTGTACAATGTTTATACTTTTATGTTACACTTTAAAATAATTGTTTCTATTGAATTGATGTGCTGAGTTTGTCCAAGTTCCTTCACATGAAGTTGAAATTAAAGAAAAACTCTTGGTTGAAGCATACTTGAATACTTAAGATAATGGTAGATAAGTTAGAGAAGGTAAAGGTGGATTCCAGATGACAGAATGCTGGGGATTGTTTTAATATGTCATTGCTATATAGAACTCTATGGAAAATGTGTAAATTTTAACTCAAGAAGCTTTCTGGGATGATTGTAGCATGTATTCTATCCCTAGTCAAGAAAAATATGTTTGTTGGGAAAAACTGTCTGTAAACAAAGCTTTGAGAAATTACCTATTGACAATTTAATATACTATAGGATGGATCTTGTGCACAACAGCAATGGAGCTCTGTAAATAAAGGAAAAAATCAACAGGAAGCAAGGCATTTATAAGATACACTTCCAGGGAATATTGTAGCTGTTTTTATTGCAAAGTAATGTAATGCATGCTAAGAAATAAAATCAAAGTTGTAGTATGGCTTATAAAAGAGTTTGCATTAAAGCATGAAGCACAGAAGGGCAATAATTCCATTCCACTCTGAAATTGTGATTGTTTTGATTAACCGCTCAGATTTGCAGTAACAGAGAAAGAAGAGACACTGGTGGGAGGACAACTTGGAGCCGTCAGAGCACCTCTGGCAATGCTGTAATCTCTGCTGGCCCCATCATTACAAGGAGTGGTAGGAATGAACAAACTTTTCCTATAGACTGCAGAAATTCCAGAAATCTGGAGAAATATTTTGCAGTTTAATATAAATTTTCAGTGACTTAAGGAAAGGGTGGATTCTCCATGAGATTGTGGCGCTATTTTTTTCCCTTACTGTTGCAGTCTTTGGTCGAAAATTTGAGCCAATATTTCTGTTTGTCTCTCACATGCTTCCAGTCAAATCACTGTGGGATATCATTATGTGCATAAGGCCATTATAAAAGCCTAAACTCAGTGGGCTGATGACTCTTTTTTTTTTTTGGTCAGATTTCACTGCCAATAATGGAATTTAAGGTACTGTGTTCAGTGTTGCAATTTAATTTGGACAGCTAATGAGTATTCACTGTCACTTTCTATTCACTGTTTCTTCCAGCTTCACCTCTGGGTGTTTACCTAAGTGTTGCAAAAAATTAATACATGCTTTGCTTTGCCTTCAGGTATAAGGCAGAAACAAGACAAACACACTGTAAATTCTAAACAGAGTCAGCCAGAATCTGCTCTTTTAAATCCCATTGACTTCCATTTTTACTGCCAAAGCATTGTTTGGTTTAAAAAGGCAGCTTTAAATGCAACCTGCAGTCTCTGAAAAGAATTTGAGACTGCTGTTGACAAAATAATCAAATATTTGAAAAAGTTTAAAAAATTAAGTTTACAGACATGTAAAAGTAATTGCAGTTAAGAAACTGATTTCAGCAGTCTTAGATTCAGGAAGCTGAGAGAAGGAATGCATTTCATCTGAAATAATTAGATGGAAATAATTTAAACACTTGAGAAATAAAATCCTTCTTCACACGCAAAGTGGTTGTGCCCACATATACAAAGAGAACAACTGACCTTTCAGAATAGGGAACCATCTTAGCAAAAGACCATTTTTAGAACAAATACCCCTTGTTATAAGAAACATTTCTGCAATGAAAAAAAGGGGTGGGGTGTTCTGCATTACATGCAGACCCAATTAGTTGCTGCCATCTGATTAGTCAAGGAAAAAGTGAAAAGAACTAACTTCAGAGTTGCATGCATGAATATTTATGGGAAATAAATGAGAGATTTGCTCAAACATGTATGCTAGAGAAATGTTGCCTTGGGTGAGGAATGGAAACCAGATAAGGCTTGTTATATGAGTAACCTTATTAGATAATATAGCTTATGATTCAAAGGCTGTGAATTCTATTTTTACAATTGGAAAAAAATAAGGTTATTTATCAATTACCTTAAAATTCTGCATAATTTCAAGAAAAATCTGTCTGTGGCTCTTTAATTACCCAAAGAAAGGGTAAATGATTTAATTATAACTGTTGAGGTTTTTTTAAATGAAAACATGAATAAGGCTGGAAAAGGAAAATAATTTTTTTTAGGTGTCACCTACTTGAGGTATGTGGCTAAAGCTTTTTAGGTTAAACATATTTCTGCATCTCCATGTTATGCTCTTGGAGCATCCCACTACTGGTGTCAGGAGGATGGTTTGATGGAAAGAAATCTTTAAAAAATGGGATGCAGTTCTGAACTCTATCACAAATTTCCTGAGTGGCATTATGGAAGTCCCTTAATCTGACTTGCACTTCACTTTTCCTTCTGGAGCAGAAAGAGGGAATTAATATTTCTTCACATTTTCCCTTCCCATTGTGAAGACATGAGGTTCATGAATATTATAGTCAAGAAAAGAAAAGAGGAAAGGTCACGAGAGAATTTAAACAGGATGATCTGATTTTTGAATGAGGAGTGCTGGCTTACTCTGGTGCAGTGTTGAATGGAGATACTTATACTATTTTCAAGGCCAGCTCTGGTCCAACTTTAGTACAAATACATTTGTACAGAGCCCATCAATGCTGCACCTCACTCACCATGGTATTTGTGCCAGTGTTAAGTCTGCAGTTCCATGGACTCTTCACTTCCCTCATAGCCTAGTGCTGCATCTGTCTGGGGCTGGTGCCATGCACATCAGTGTCTGCAGAGGCACCTTAGGTTAGCCAGGTGAATTTTCTTTGGTGGCTGGTAATTTGGGTTTTTTTCCTCAACAGACTATTAAGCAACTTCACATGGGTGTGCTCACATTACAAACAAAGCAATTTCATGTATTTGGTGGAGTTCTCCTTACTCTACGAGAGATGCTAAAAACTACTAGTCAGTGTTGCAAGTATAGCTAGGACTATTGGCTTTTGTATTGCAAGGAGGGGAGCAGTAGGCAGAGGTATTTGTAAAATATAATGCATCCTGTTTTTGTTTTCTGTAGATGAGACAACAACCAACAATTCACAGCTTGGTAAGTTAACCAGACTTCAAGAAACATAAAAGAGGGTTTATGACTGAAACAGAACTGAGGAAATAAACCATTTTGATTGAGCTCTATGTACTTAGCTGGAATGCTTTTCTATCTGCTTTTTTTTTTTCCTTCAGTTTAATGAGTCAATAATGACATGCTGTAAAGAAATCAATTGGTGAATTTGGAATGCTCAGTTTGATTTGTGTACCTAGCCCCACCAACATAGAAATTTGTAATTCTTATGATGGAATTGAATTGAAAATCTTCTGCTAGGACATATGATGGTGAGGGAACATTGCAACTGCCAGGTGGAATATCAGACTTAAACAGTAAATTCTGCTCATGTCATGCAGGAGTAGAGCAGCAAACTGGTGCAGTCTAGCTCAGTTTAGAGTTCAAAGTAAGAAAACCTCTGTTTCAGCTTCTGTTTTCCTAGCATTTAACCACACAAAGAGCCTATGGAGAAGCTTGTTTGCAACTTGCTGTCTGCTAGGGCAATGAAGGAAATAGGCTGTAGGGGAGATCAGGTCTTTTTTTAGGTTGCTTTTCCTTTGGGCACTTTGATGACTTGTTTCATCCTGCTACTCTTCTCTGCTCATAACAAGGAGTAGCTGACAGCAAGAAAAGATAGTCAAGGTAACCAGGTGGTTCGTTGGACCATTCCACCTTTCACTTGTTCATAACAGGACTGGTACAACCAACCTATCCTGTCCTGTGAACTGCAATACTATTTATTCCCTTCTTTTCTCAACTTAGACTGCATAAAAGCAGCTACCTTTCTTTCCTGGCATAGAAACAAAGTTCTCCCTATAATGAGCTGCTACATGATGTGCTCCTACCCATGGATATCATTAAAATAATAAAACCCAAACTCTTCATTTGCTGCACACAGCTTGCTGTGTTACTGGCTGCTACCTTTCCTTACCATCATCCTTGATGACGCTGAGGGGAAGTTGATGTTTCTGGGAGAAGCAGTCTGGTTTCCCATGGAGAAGCTGTGTTGTTGTTTCTTCTCACTGTCCAGCACTGGTAATTGCTCTCTTAGGCAAATGCACATTGGTGCTTCAGGTAGCACATACCACTCACATGTGTTTTTCGCCTCCTGTTGGAAAAGATGGTACAGGCTGAATGTGTGTATTCCAGCATCCCAGGATTGGTTCATAGCCTGCTGAGCTATGCTGAATAGTAAATACGTTACTTCTTCTGAGAATTGATGTGTTTAGAAGCCTTCTGTGAAGGTATACAGATTAACTTGAAGTATCTCAGCTATTTGCTGCTAGATATGCTTGTTTAGGGTTTATACACAATTTGAATTGAGATGCGAATACTGATAATGAGGGAAGAAACCCTTTCATTAACTTGTTTAGGCCACAGATCCTTATACCTCTGTTTTGATAGTTCTTGGACGCCAGTAGTCTTGTCTTAAATAGTGCAGATTAAGGTCAGTCACTAGCATACCAAGGATTATGTTTTATAAGTACCCTTACTCTCTTTATAACTCAATATCATGGATATTGAAAGAACTAATAACTACTTTCAACATTTGCTCATTCTGAAGTACAGTTTTATTCCCTTCATTGTAATTCTTCTGTATGTAGGGTGTGGTGATGAAGAGACAGGAGTGTTTGGCACTGCTGAGGGATTGTAACCAGAATTTACCTGTGCCTTTCTGTTCTCCTTGCAGCTCATCCAGATGGACTTCCTTTCCAGCTGAACTCAATCACCACTGCACTGATTTCAGGCATTGTCATCCTAGGAATCACAAGCATTTTCTTTTTTGTATGCTCCGTAACCCTTCTGCACAGAAAGTGGCCCAACCTTTCAGTCTTGACTGGCATCCAAAACCCAGTTTTCAACTGAAACTGATGATTTACTTGCACTTTTTCTTTGGGGCTGCCTTTCTTGTCCATGAAATATCATTCCATTAAAAAATAATATTAAGGCAATAGTCCAGCTGTATCCAGCTTCTATTCCAGCTATTCTGTATTTTTGTTTTGCTAGATGATGTGTAGGTAAGCAGCAGTAACATTGGTAACAATCCTAGAAAATTACGAGAATCTCAACTGTGTTTGTGATCAGACTGTATAACATCATGCCCATGGGTGTGCTGACAATAAAGCTTGTGTCTCCAGCTTCCCAGTGAGGTCTCAAAGCTGAAAATACTCAAGGTGAGAATCTTTACGAGCATGTCATGCTTGCAATAAAGCTGACACATTCAGAAACTTTCTTAAGTCCATACACACCTACTAAAAGGATAACTTTTATTTTGTCATGGTATTTTTCACAGATCTGAAGGCACTTATGTCTCAAGAGGACTTTGTTTTAGTTTATCTTGGCTAAAAGTATCTCGAGAGAGAGTTAGAACCAAGTGATTTTTGCTTATTGTTCATTTAGAAATGTTTTCTTAGATGTATCTTCCACTGAATTGTGATGATATCATATGAAGGGCATAATTTGGTTGGGTATCTTTAAGTCACATAGTTTGAGACAAACTGCAGTTGGTCCCAGGGAACAATGCTGCAGTTCTTGAGGTGGAAAAATCTTTTCCCAGCAAAATCATTGAGTGAGACTCAGTGAGGACTTTAAATCTAAATGATGTTTAGCATCAAGTTACTTCTGCAAAGAACTGCCACATCTACAGCCTTCAGTCAAATTCTAACCTCAGGAACTGCTTCAAGGGGAAAAGTATTCCTTCCCCTACTCAACTCCTTGAGCAGGCAAGCTAATACAAGCAAGTAATGCCTGTACTTTCCTCATACACAACTATTTTTGGAGCAAAACTTGGCCGTTGAGAAAAAGTCTCAATATCCTAATCTGTAAGGGCCACTTCTGCCCCATGAGCTTTGCAGTTTTTGGATAAGGCTTTGCTTTCTACATGTAGAGATGTAAATCAGTGCTTATTTCTTTAGCAGATTTCCTGCATGAATTAGACTTCACTGCATGGATGAGGGGGAGAAAGCAACTAGAGGGATAACAAGTCGTAAGCAGTACTGTACTATTGACTCGTTAATCTAATAAAGCACACTTAACTGGAGTGAGTGACCAGGTCCCTCAAACAGGAAAACAGGGCAGTCAGTTCTATGTAGAACAGACAAAAATACTGGTATTAGAGGCTGCTGTAGATACAACATATATTAAGCTGGACTGTCTAGATGACTGGGATTTTGGCTACACTTACACCAGTTTAATTTCGTTTTTCATATACTGTACATATGTGCCTAGGAACACCTCATTGATATTTATCATTCCGTGTTAACCATGTCTGTAATTTCATTGATGTGATGCTACTGGCTATTGATCAGGGATTTTGTCTCTCCAGGCTAAAGATAAATGCAGACTTGTTCTCAATTTTCTCTGATCCTGCAAATGCCTGTTGTTCACAAAGTCCACTGCATTGTGGTATCCCTTATGACCAACACTGTGCCTGTTTTCCTCCAGTCTTAATACCTCAGAAACATTTTTGCACTTCAGGGGTTAGGTCTGATTACATGTAAAACATGATTAATAAAATTGTTTGAAATATTTCAGAACAAATGCATTGTCTGAACTGTTCCTCCTCCTGTCAAATTTTTACAGTTTTGTGTACTTGCTTTTAGTGACTTCATTCTACAAAGATGAAAACGGAACTGGAATTTTTAACTCAGTTTGGTTAGAGCTTTCAATATATGGGATAAATCAATATAGGTATAGTTTTACTGGTCTTTAATGGAGGTCAATAAACTCTGGAGATTTATATCCCAGTCTGGAGATAAGTAAATTCAGATAATCTATTTTAATTTACTTGTAAAGACAACCACAGAAATTCCATTAATGTAATTACTACTTCATAACCAGCAGCTTTAGCTGTAAGTTTCCAGCTATGGAGATAGTCATTATCATCCTTCGTATGTTTTAATTTCTCTGTTTCTGGAAACTGTTGCTTATACAGAGAAAAGAAATTTATGGTAATTAACAACTACCTGGCCAAAACTGTTGAGGGCTGGGTAGCCCACTAAAATAGCATACTTTTACACAATAACGTATTGTGTCAAATGGTTTTCTTATGTTAGTTCAAATTTCTTTGTGAAGAACCAGGTGATCTTTGTGTAGGTTTTCCTCACGTGAAAAGTACTATGTGTGAAAGTGAAATCCCACACCAGTAGTGTTAGTGAACAGAGTTCCCAGTCATCTGAAGGAGTCATTACTATCTTGCTGTGGACTGAATGTATTTGTCTCCATCACTCATTAAATGAGATAAACACCTCTATCTCCTTTGTAAAGCCCTATGGAGAGTCATAAGTGGAAAATGGTATCTGAAAATGGGGTTATTCATTTGCCCATCTGACATGGGAATGCTTTATGAATGGTGTTTGGGGGAGGTGAAAACTTGAGCCAGACTGACCAAATATTTCTAACAGGGAGAGGACCGACTGTAAAAACATCCCCATCCGGGTTTGTTTAAAAGAAGTATGCCAGTATTTAGGAACATGTGGAGGCCATAAATTGTGATCTCACAAGAAACAGGCTGGTCAGAATTTGGGTGAATGTGCATGATGATTGCACCCTTCTCTGAAGGGCAGGATGTTAGGTTGAGAGGGAAGCGGGAATGGATGGAAAATATAAATTGCATGCAGTGGTCAGGGGCTTCTTGCACTTGAGATACTAAAGTTTAAATGGAGTAGCCAATTAAGAAGACACTTTGGATAAAGGAACTCTGGCCAGATAGATACATAATGGAGGTCTTAGAGCTGGTGAGTGAAACAGAATTACTAGAAGAACAGTGGTTCTGCTAACAATATCACTTGTATTAGGGGTGTCCATTACATGTGTTTAAATCTTTTTGCACAGAGTTCAGGTTTCTGTAGGTAAAAACTGTGCACTGAGGCATTCTTAGGTCTGTGACTGAGACTGGGGGCAGAAAGGAAAGAAACAGAGTGAGACTTTAAGCTAGGTCTAAACCCAGTAGAACTTAATATACCTGCAAAGAGGTGAAAACACATCCTGGGTTCCTGTCTTTGGAAGAAATAAATGACATATTCAACTGGAGCTGTGTACGCCAGTGCTTGGGATAAATTCAACTGATATTTGAGAAACAGGCTTTGGTAAGGAAAGCTGGAAGTAAATCACACTTTCAACTTCATTTGGCAGGCATGTTTCTTATTCTTTATCTCTTAGGCTCCACAAACATGGCAGAAGCATCAGCCTTGCCCTGTTAAACTATTCATCTCCAGGCATACAGTATCCTAGCCTGAAAGCCATCACATTATTATTTACTATTCCAGGCATTTCATTCTCTGTATAGAACCGGCTTTCTCTTGTTTAGACTCTAGGTCTCAGAGGTGGGGTTATCTAACTTGCTTGTTTTGCATTAATCAAATAAAAAGTAAAAAAAAAAAAAAATTAAAAAAAATTAAAAAGCTTGCTTCAGCATGTTTTCCGTCCCTTTACCTGGCTGCCACAGAAAATATATGGACTCAGTCAGAGATCAATATGATCAGACAAAAAAGCCGTTTATTACAAAGCCTTAACCCCTTAAATACTATTTCTTACATGCACTTCCAGTGATTTGACATATTATGATTGGATACATGTCTTGAAGACCCTTTGCAACTAGCATATAATTGGTTAAACACAAGTGTGGGAACTTGACCTCGAAAGCTTGACAACAGTCCAAAGTTCTCATTACCTCAGTGAAATCTAGCTTCTTCTTATCTTGCTTGCTTAAGCTTCCTTGGGCCTCTCACGGCCTTGCTGTATCTTTCAGGATTATTCAGAGTTTATGTACTAATTATCCATTCTCCCATGAGAACACTGTCTTCCACACTGGGCTGCAAAATGACCCTGGAGAGGCCCCATGTTCCTGCCAGAAATTCACAATATTTTCCATCAAGATGTAGAGTCTGAATGATGTCCATTAATAGGACTGCTCAGAGTGGGTGTGGCAATACCTGAGCTTGTGACAGTTTTCCCTTCGGTGCTTGTCCCTTGTCCCATGATTCAAGATGAGTGCTGCCTCTATTCAGTGAACTTCATTAATGTTAGCAAATGGTAACATCTGTCTGTTCAGTAGCTGTTTTGAGGAATAAGCACAATTTGTGTTTTATTTTGGGGTTTTTATTTTGTTTGTTTTTGACGAGTTTTTTTTGGGTTATTTTTACCTTATGAAAGGGAATTAGTGAACTGGAGTGATGACTGTGATCACAGGTTACTCTCTACAGCAGAGAGCCCTTTTTTCTTGTCCAGATTGTAGTGAATAAAAATAATGATTCTGTTAATTCAAATGCTAATTGTAAGTAATGTAAGGGCAAAAGATCAGTGTGGGATCTGTACTGGATGATTCACTTGCTGGATATGAGAGTACATGTGTACATGTTCACCAGCTGTGTATTCTACATGGCATTGTGCATCTGAAGCTAGTGACTTGTCAGCAGTAAGTTCTACTTATGTGTTCTCTCACTTGCAGGAGTCAGACCTTGCTTCTGGATGTCAGGGGTTGCACAGCAGAGTAAATGCCGTGTGATGGAGTAATGTCTACAGTGCTTCCCTCCCTTCCTCAAACACAGACCAGGGGATTGCACATGCTCATCACATTACTATAACTAGAATGTCTGGAGCCATGAAATGGGTGGCCAGGACAGCTGTTCCCAGTCAGCCTTATTGTTGGTTCATGGTGCATCCCAGGCTGTGGGTCTGACTCTGGTAGCAACCTGTGCATCCTTTGTAACTTGACAAAGCAAAAGATTCACCAACAAAGAGTGACCTCTGCAACAGTGTCACCAACATGTCATCCCTCCTTAGCTTTTCTGCCTAAAAGCGTAGAAGCAAGGCTCACAGTGTGAACGTACAGCTCCTGCTTATACGGAGGAATAGCCAAATCAAAAAGCTGCTGCTGGGCTTTCGGCTGTATATTGTGAGCTTTGCCAGGGTCCCACCAACAGGGCAATCAGGCTTCACGTCTTTAACTAAGCCGCTATTCATCCTATTCTCTTTCTGGTGCACTCTCTCAGGCATCCGGTTTACAAAGTGAAATTTCCATCCCCTTCTCCCACAGTGGAAGTGCCAGGATGGAAATCTGGTACTGGCGATCACCTGCACACATGGAGCTCTGCTGTAGTGTCAGCAACATGGCAAAGTGTACTACTTTGCAACACAAAATCTACCTCCCTACAGGGCCTCTTTTTTCCCTGTGAGATCCAGGAACAACGCTTACAGACTGCAGACGTCCAGCTAAAGCATATACAGGAGCCAGAGCAGAAAGCTGCATCTGGGCATCACCAACAATGAGTGATCTTTGCAACAGTATGACCAACATGTCAGCCCACCCTAGCTTTCCTGCCTAAGAATGTAGATGCAAGGCTCCC